ATAAACATTTCAACCGATTTTATAAGTCATCTGATTAAAATTCTATATGCTTTCAAAGTTTTAAAGTTATTTTTGAATCACACTGTATTGTGCAAAATTTTTCAAAATATTTTTTCTGGTAAATAAAATAATTAAAATTTAAATTATAATAGCCAAACATTGACACTCACTATCAAATTAATATTTTAAATTACATAATAAATTACATGTTGTTGAAATAGCCAATTGAAAATTGTCTAGCTTAAATGAAAATGGATAATGTTAATAATTATAAACTGAACAGTGATAAATAAACAGACATTATATCATTGTATATATAAATTTGTTTCCAGAATTTTTTCCTAAATATTGGTTTAAATATTTGCAGGAGGTTCTTTTTAGATTAAACAATGATCTTTCAGACTTTGTTATTTTTTATTATAATTTTGAAGTTAAAAAAATGTTCTGTTTTTTTAATAAAATAAAAAATTATAAATACAAAAATAAAACTTTAAATTAAAAATGCTCTTGAAAAATATAGAGTTAAAAAAATATAACAAATAATGTTTTTAACATATTAATGAAAGACAGATGACACCAATATACAGTAGATGCCATTGTAATTTTGTTTAATATAAACAAGTATAAAATTCTGCTTTATCAGAGCTGACAGACAATAAATTTTAAATGTTTTTAAACCTATATATCCATTAAGGGGAGAACAGTCAAAAAATAAAATTTCTCATAGGTTAAACTAACCTTTCAAAGTTTGAAATGTTTTATTTTCAAGCAATTTTCTGAAGATAGGACTATAGTTTAAAAAATATTTGGGATTTTTTATATCAGGTAGCTATCAAATTGACTAAAACTTATTGACATAAATATAAATGTCAAATATATTGCATATATCATATTTATAAATATATTAAACTCCATTAGTAAACTTAAGAAATCATGTTTCTTTTAAACTAATAAAATAATTTATTACATTTATGAAAATTCACTTAAAGATTAGTGAAATTATATGATTCTTGTCTAACAATTTCAATTAGCTTATAACCAAAGGTTATAACTAATGCTATATTATTGTGACATTGTATCATCACTTGCTTAATGTATTTTCCTAATAATGATTATTAAAAGAGTAATTCATCTAGCAACAATAATATAATAATATTGCTACCAGAATGGAAAATTACTGGGTTCAATATTTTGTTTTACAAATCTAAATTAATGATTTTATTTGATATATTCTTTTATGTTTGCATTTTAACGAACGTAAAACATAAATGAATAATTGTAATTACGATAAAAAAAAGTATAATACAATAATGTACTAAATTGACAGTTCCAGTATACACATTAAAAAAAAAAAAAAGGTCTTTTCTCTTGAGTAGTTCACTTTGTTATTTATAATTTCCAAAAAGAAGGTTAATTACTTATAGCAATCTTTATAATCTGCATAATTACATTTGCAATTAGCGTAAAATATTTATTTGATGACAATATTTGAATGTTAATATTCAATTCTTAGAAAATTCTATGAAACTGAATGTTTACATTGAGATATTTGATTTGCAGATAAGCAAAAGTCTTAAAACAAGTTTTCATATAAATAAAATACAAAAAAGTCAAGATATGAATAATTTTTAAACCAGAATTTCTGGAAATAATTTTTTCCCCCTAGAATTTTTCAAATGATTTTAGATATATTTTAAGCTTTAATATAAATTTTCAATTTTACTGATTGTTAATATATTAATTACATTAGTTTTCCAGGCAGTTTGATATCAATTAATTAAATTAATTAATTAATTAAGGTATTACCTTTTCAGTGTTATTAATGTTTAATAAGTTCACTATGTAATAAAGAATAACATTGAAATTATAAATCTGAGTATAAATTACAGGCTCAGTGATAGAAAAAATAAAAAATTTGTTTAGCTCAGTGCTAATTTTTTTTAAAGGTTATTAAGTACTGTAGCAATCTAAAATAAAAAAAACATTCTTGTTTTGTTTCTTAATAAACCTTTCATTAAATTTGAAATCTTTTCTGTATCTTTTTTTTTCTTTTTTTTTAGTTTAAACTTAATTTATATATAATAGCTTATTTATTGGAAGCTATTTTACTATTAGCAATTTTAATCACTCAGTTATTTCATACCAGAAAATCATTGTATATTCATTTTTGTTAAATTTTCTTATAATTTCATTTTAAAATACAAGATCAAACAAATCAATGAACAATTAACAGTTATATTTTCTGCAAATGAATAAAATAATGTTTATTTAAACACTGTTATGTTAATAACAAGACAAACATTAACTACTCTGATTACTAACTAAACACACTCAAGAAAACCTTTTAAATATGCAGCCGTATTTATTACATTCTAACATTTTCGGTCATATACAATGACCTTTATCAAGAATAAATGGATAAAAGGAAAAATCGAATATTTATTCTTGATAATAAATTTATCAAGAATATATTTATTCTTGAATATGACCGAAAATGTTAGAATGTAATAAATATGGCTGCATATTTAAAAGGTTTTCTTGAGTGTGTTTAGTTAGTAAGAAATGCAGTCTACGATGAGTACTCTGATTACAGATACTTAAATTTCAATTAAGAAAACAAGCAATTATTAAAAGAATTTTATCATCAATAAAAACAAATTTACATAACTAATTTTTATAATTTTAATGTATTAATTACTTTATTGCCTTGTTGAGCTGCAATTTGAAAAAATTGTAGACCTATAAATTCCCACAGTCGTCGTCTGTCCATCTTTCCTTAATCTTGTGAACAGAGTTAGATAGATGAGACCAGATATGGAAACCTTAGGGGCAGAAAACCTGATTAACCATATACAAACTTCCAATGCATACCGGAAGTCATGTTATTTCAATTAAAAAATTTCCCCCTGAAAGGTGTTAGATACATAACCAGCATGACTCTATTGTTAAAGGAAAAGTATAATGTACACAGGTAAGCCACTACTAATTTGAGGTGGAGAGCATATATTTTAACTTAAATACATTAAAAAATATGATTAAAAATTTGCAGCCTGAAATTGTGGCAATGTCACAATAAATAATTGTTTGATAATTTTCTTCTATATTATTTGTCACTGAAGATACAGTATTTTATATTCTAATATAAAAGTAAGGAAAAAAAAAACTTAGTATGCAATACGAATTTTCCTTTTAGTTCATTAATCAAAAAACCAAGCATTTTCAGATATTTAGAAATTGTCTTTTAGATACTAACATACATTAAATAAAGTAAAAGTTTAATATATATAAATGTTTAATATTAATAGAATGAATAAAATGCATGATAAAATTATTAAATTTCAATTAGATTATAATTTAATATTATAATTTTACATAAATCCACCCAAAATCTGCCAGAGGACTCTCAGCTTAAATATGATTATATAACATGGATACTGTCGTGATAAATTTTTAATGATTTTTAATGTTTGTAGGTGTCATAGCCTACAAAAAGAAACAGGGTCGATGTCGAGATCATTTTTAATTGTGTGTGAAAATTTTTTATAGTATTTGTCTCTTTTTATAAGTTTTACTTCAAGTCGCCTGCTGTTTGTGGTTCCTGGGTCAGAATTAAAAAGGATATGAATAGGAAAAAGGACTCAAACATTGTTTGTTTAGTCTTAAATTTTCAATAATGAAAATCAATATTGTAACTTATTAAAAATTTCAATCTTTCTAAAGTATACAATGTAAAGCTTTCAAATATAGAATTTAAAATTTGCATCTCCATAAATATTGTGATAAGACATAAGAAGCTTATGATAAATCCATTAAATTTCTTACATATTTGTTCTCTTCTTCATAATTATCAGGAGAAATACAAATTGCTTTTTAATTATGCTTCAAAACTTCAATAGTAATAAAATAAAAGCTCTTAAAAGTTTTTATTTTATTAACTAATATTTTTGAGTCAACATTGATCTATTCTCAGAATTTCATTCTAATTAATTCAAACTGATTTAAAGATAAAAAAAAATAACTGTAATGTATTTAGATTAAATGGTTAGTTTGTAATTTTAAATATATTAAAGAAAAGAAACTTGTGTACTTGTGTTTGTAAAAATTTAACAAAATATATAAAAAAGATTGATTATATTTTGTTTTTTTGTAAAGTGTATTTACATTATATTTAGTAAATTAGCATTTTAATACAACTGACATGAACGACACTGTCATTTTTACATTGTGTATACAAATATGACAAAATATGGCTAGGCATTGACAATTTATTAACTAATCAAATTGTTTTATATATATATATTTAAAATCCTATCTTTATTTTTGATGTGTGAATTAATTAAATTTTATATTTATTTCTTATCCTTAACTCTAAGGATAAAAAAAATTATTATTTGAATTTATTGAAATAGCATAATGTCATTTATTACAAAAGTATCTATTGTCATTTATAAAACCAGGATTTTTCAAATCCTCTATCATGAAATAATATATTGGATTACAAATTATTTTAAAAAAAAGAAATATTACATTAATTCCATATATATAGCATTCAACTGAAAATAAGTCCAATCTAATTATAATTACTTCCATTTACAATGAAGCTATCAAAATAATGATCTAATTCATTTGGTTCAATACAATGCACTATTTTCATCTTAATTATAAAATTGTTCATTATATGACAAATCACTCTCATCAACAATATTTAAGAATATAATTGTTGTGTGTCATTACATTCCTATAGCTCATATTTTTAAATTTTATAAAATAGTATTATAAAATACTTTTCATTCACAAGAAAATTTTTTATGCAGAAAATAAGAATGGATACAAGTATAAATATTTGGCAAAAAAAAAAAAACAAAAGTGTCTCTTCAATATCATCTCAGGTATTAAAAATTAATTTTTATTACAACTCTTTTAAAGTACTGATCTGTTTACTTATAGGCGGTACTAACATTAGTATAGCCTATATTAACAATCAACTACACAATACTTACTTTTCTTAGGAGGAAATGTGGCAGGGATTCTACCATTCTGAATATTGAATGATGTAATAATATCTGTATCAATTGGTAACAAAGGTATTCTGATTATATTTTCAGCTTCTAATCCATCATCCAATGCCATAAGCCTTTGTGTAATAGCCATGTGAAGATCAAAATCATTTCTAAATAAAAATAATTTTATTTAGAATCAAATATATCTCAGATAATGTAAAATATCAATAAACAGTAGTCCTTTATCATATTGTGCATCTCATTACATCTTATCTGGACATATCACACTTTTTTGTGTCTCAAATATAAAAGTGCTTTAGGCAATAATTTTTAAAAAATCTGTTTCCATTGAATTTCTACTGAAATCCAATAATTGACCTTGAAACTACCATTGTATGAAATACAACCCACAAAAATGCAAGTTGTCATGGAAATTGAAAATAGGCAAAACATAGATACATCAGTTGTATCATGATATCTGAAATATTGCTCATATATACTGATTGGTCTGTCTCCTGACATGCACAAAATAATGAGAGACTACTATATTATACTGTAACAAACAAGGTTTATATTTGAGTTATATTATAGTTCTTAAATAATATTTAAAACAATACTCAATATACTCATTTAAACCAGTTCAAATTTCTTTAATTTATCTTTTCTAATAAATTATTATTTACATATCACCAATAAAAATTTTATAATATAAAATAAATGTTTTAATGAAAAATGAAATTTTTTGTGTATATTAACACTTTTATTAATTGAACCTTAATTCAATATCAGTGAAAACAATGTCAGTTTTTATAAATTTATAGTTGGTTTAACTTTAATACAAATACATCCTCTATTTCTGTTAACCGAATTACACTAAAAATTTAACACTGATACTGAACTATGTACAGTACATAAAATATTGCAGAATTACTAGCTATCAGAACTGAAACTAAAAAAAAATTTTTCTTTGGCAATTATTAGGTAAATGAAGGCAACAGAATATTGTGCATATTTACACATGAAAATTACTTCGTATGATCATAATGTTTACACAGTAACTTTTCTTTCATATCATTTTTAACCAAAACTTTTCTAAAATGATATTTTCTAAATTACTAAAATTTAGATATTGATCTCAAAATCTCATTTTGAATTGATCAAATCATACAAATATTTATCAAAACTGAGTTGAAAAAAGATATATTATTGTGATATCTAAGTATTGTTTTAATTTCTATCATTGTTTCTTTATATTTTTAAATTATACTCCATAATTAAAAAGTTTCATTTTCTAATCTTTTTTTCTTAATATTTTGAAAAGAAGTTTGAAAGTTTTGCAAATGGAATTTATTAACTTTAGAGTAAATCTTTGTTAAGTATTTTCACTTTTACTCATATAGAATATTTTTTTATAAAACACAAAATATAAAAATACAATGTTTAAAATTTACAAACAATCTATATTTTATATCTGCAATATTCTAATTTATAGTTTTATGTTTAGAATGATCATTAATAGTTGAGTAACATTTGTTTTGCTTTTTAAATAGAATGTTTACAGGTTAATTTTTTTAAAATATTTTGCTCTATTAAAAAAAAAAATTACTTTTATCTTCAGATAATAAATAAAGTACATATAAATGATTATTACAGTAAACTTAATAAATCTGTAATAGGATATTTACACACAGACTTATCTTAATTTCTAGTTATCACATAATCATAGAAATAAATAAAAATGTAGATAATCATCATTGGAAAATTTTTTGACATAAAATACAAGTAACTTAAAAATTAAACAATAAAAATACATTATTAATCAAATCAAATTCTAAAAGTAAAAAATAATTAATCATTTAGTCTATCTTTATGCCTGAATCTATGTTTATCTAAATTTATAAAAATTTCAAAAGAAATTAAACTATTAATAAATATAATTAATAAATACATACTGTCTTTTGGCCTTAATTCAGTTAAAACTAAATGCATGCAAGTACTTTCAACATTTTACAAACATTGTCTTCAGGTAATACAGTACAGTAATAATTGAAATTAAAACTAAGATTTCTAGTGCAAAATTTTATTTTCTACTTATATATTTTTTCAAATCTGCAATTCTCATGTTTTTTACTATATACAAAATCTAAAACTATAAATTTTATATTCTATTGTATAATGTAAAAATATTTTTATTCTTTAAAATTTAACTATTTTCAGACTTAAATATCTGAAATTTTTAAAAAGTTGACCAACTGAGTTTTAAAATCAAAATAATTGGCATTATTCTGCTTTGTTTCACATCAATTTCAATGCTATTAAGAATCATGTAAGCATGATATTTTAATTCAAGGTCTTGATCTCAATTTGTTTCTAATATAAATGTAAAAAAATTGCATCAACATTAAAAATAAATTTGTATAATGCTTAACAATGTATTAGCTTTACAAATATAGCAACAACAAATACAGTACATGAATATACTGAATAAACAATTAGATATAAATATGATAAGTAGAATATTTTTATTGATAATTAATATATTTACAAATAATATATAGTGAAAAATTTTATTTGCTTTGATTATAATTTAGCAGAACTAATTAACATAAAAATGAGACATATGTATCATTTAATATATTAATTATTTTATAGAGAAAGATAAAATGATTACAACACTCTTGTTAAAATAAATAATATTTTGTTGCTGTTTTATGTTTTACTTTTAAAATTTCTCCTTGTCAGAATATTTATGTAAAAATGCTTTATTTTTATTTAACTTTTGTAAATACATTAGTAATCATTTTCCCCATCTGTTCATGTCATCTACTCATTACTAAATGTCTGTATTATATCATTCAAAGTATCTATCTCATAATTATCAAAGATAATTACTCCAATAAAATGGCTAAGATATCTCAAATAAAAAATAATTTTTTAATATTGTTCACAATGATTTATGAGCATAATATTTTGATTTATTTAAATTATCTAAGCATTATTTGAAATAATTTATTATATAATTTCATAAAGCTATCAAATTTATATTAATAAATGAAGTTATTTAAAATAACTTTGAAAATATGATTTGGTAGTCCGAATTAAAGAGGATAAATCATTTTTATTTATTTCTTCTAAGCAATAAATAATAAAATTAATAGTCTTAAGCTCCTTTATATTAAAAAACTACTTGAGGTAGATATCTGAGGAAGTCTTGTAATAGTTTATGTTCTTTGGTCAGGCAACAATGTATGGCTGTACATTCACTAGAAAAATTCTCTTAGCACTTTTATGTTCTTAGAAATTTCATAATTGATTAGTCTGAGCATTGTTTAAAACACATAATTTTTGTTTTTGAGTAATGTTTTATTAGTGTTGTTTCTTGACTCAACTACTTTCCATCTACTAAAATTAACCATCCATGCAATTTTACTATATATTATGTATGTTGTCATCATCCTGTACTAAAGTAGAATGGTCTCAAACAGTTGGTATGAATCATTTTTCTTCTCTAGATCACAATCATGGTTATAAATTCTATCCACTAGACCTCTCTTATTTTTCGTTTACAGTATATATTTAAAATTATTTATAACAAATAAAAAAAAAAAGCACTATTTACCATTTTAGTATGTTGCAATGATTTTGTATGTAATCAAATACTTATTTCTTACTTCTAATATTTATTATTATTGCAATTCTGATAAAACCAACTCTAGTTTAAAGTAGCACTTAATCTCCCATTTCCCAAAATATCAAAACCTTTCACAAAATTTGAAATTTTGGTGCATAAATTTCCAATCACAAATAATCAAATTCTCAAACATTTAAGTCCAAAAACATCAAGAGTGTAGTGTATTTATTTTCAGCTTTATACCTTTGAATAATTCATATTATACATTTATAATAATTCAAATACTTAAAAAAATTTAAATCATTAATTGGAAGCTGTAACAGTAAGAATTTAAATACTATGACACCAGCTAATTATCTAATTTTGATTTTAGCACAAAATAAATATTTCAATTATTGAGAATGTTTTCTAACTGCCAATATAATCCAATGAAAACTTATTACATCTAATTTATTTATTTCAGTTAAAATCAGCAGTTTATGTTAAATAATTTGGAAATAGAATCACATTCAATTTAATATCATTGTTACAATTTAACAAATAGGTGAAGAAATACTATACCATCACAAAAAGATTATGCACATATAAATAACATGCAGAAATATTCCAAATAAACGGAATAAACATTTCAAAATAAACCAGCAACGAGTTGCTCAACTTTTCAGGCAACATTTAAAATTTTGGTGGTGCCATTTGTTATCGTATTTTATTTTAAAATCTTTTTATATTTTTAACTATTATAAAATGCCAAAAAGCTTAATTTTGAGAGTAGGGATGAGTTTTATAAAAAAATTGTAAATGATAATAAGAAGTAAAATCATCATTAAGTCTGATCCTAATCAAGATATGACACAAGACCCCTTTATCTTTCCACCCCATCAACCATTAACCACCAAAATTTAATAGCAGCAATCCCTCTAATAAACAAACCTTCCTGCAAAATTTCAGAAATTTTCAACAAAAAGCACAGGAGTGATTAAGCTTCAAGCAGGGTTAACAAATTTGTGCCTCTCACACACATACTAACATCCATACATACAGAAATTCGGGGATAATTTTTTTTTGCATTTCTCAACATTTCAAGGTGTCCTAAATCTAAAAATGTAAAATTCTGGGTAGTCATTTTTTGCCTGATCGCCATACTTTCTGTCTGTATAGCAGCTGGGAAAGTAAAACAGATTATCTATGCTTACTTTATACTCTTATATTATAATGACAGTAATTCTTTCCTTCTGAAAATCAAAAACATATGCTTAAATATTTTTGATTTACAGATGAATTTTGCTGAAATCCAAAATTCTGAAATATAAACCTTCATTTAAATATACATAAACATAAATATATAAATATACAGTCTTTAAAACACAAATATGTTTTCAAATATATCTCAAAATGTGCAACCATTCTCAAATGCCTAGTCATTTATGGTTGTCAGATTAGAAAAAAAAAAACAAAAAACAACTAAATACAAAAAATTGTTAATTTGGAATCTAATTCTTAATATTTAAACAATTTCAGTGAAGTATGATTTATCAAGATTGTGTAAATGAAATCACTTTTTATAATTTTTTAAAATTATTAAAGAACTGATATTTTTATTAATAAACAACTAGCATATTAATGACATTTTCACAAATTATTATTTAAATTTTTCATGAGAATACAATATTTTTATTCCCAATAGATGTAATTATTTATCTACTTTTTGCATACAACTAGGTGACTCAATAGGATAATTGAGTCTCCAAAAATCATATCAATAATGTTCAAATAAAATTTTGAATGCTTTTCATTGTAAGTACAGTTTGGGTTAACAAATTTGTTAAGAAATGTAATGAAAACCCAACATCATTTTCAGAAGTAATTTTTACAAAAATATTTTTTAAAATATTAAAATTTTAAAAATATTTTTAAAATAATAATCACAACAAAAAAAGTGACTTTATGTAATTTTTGTGAATTTTTTAAAAATAAAAATACACAAAAAATAATGAACTTTTTTCTAAGTAGAGCATATTTGCCATGTTTAAAATATTTGTTAATTTTAAAACATGGCAAATATTGAAATTTAATTAATACGTTCATTAAATACGATGTTTTAATCTATTTTAAAAAATTTATATTAAATATAATTTATTATTTAATACATTGATATAAAAGCGATTAACTGGCACAAACTAAAATATGGCTCCCTCTGTCGGACGATATTTCAACTAATAATAAAATTATTATTTAAGACTGTAACCTCTAGGTTATGCATGCGTTCTCCGGCAGATGGCGTTAAAAAGTAATACTTTAACTATAGAAAAAATCCCTTTCCAAAAAAAAAATTCTCGAAAACGGAAGCAGATAGAACCAGACAGTTTTTTCAATAGAATCTTATTTAATTCTTCTAGTAACATACGATTCCAGAATTTTAGAAATCGAATTCGTTAATTTTATATGAATTTTATTACCCGTAAAAAATTAACGAATTCGAGTTTCAAAAGTTCTGGAATCGTATGTTACTAGAAGAATTAAATAAGATTCTATTGCAAAAAACTGTCTGGTTCTATCTGCTTCCGTTTTCGAGAATTTTTTTAAAGGATTTTCGCATAGAAAAAAAGGATGTTTTGATCGCCATCTGTTGGAGACTGTGTGCATAACAAAAAAAAAAATTACAATTAGCCTTAAGTAATGATTTTCTTTCAAATTTCATACAAACCTTCTTCGATTTTATATTTTCAACTTTTATTTTTTTAGTGCAATTCTCTTTATTCCTACATAGTTTTCAATTGTGATTTCTATGTCCACTTTTGAACAACGCATTAACTGATCAATTGTCCTTACTCGAAAAAATTAATTTCGAAAGTAATTAGCATGAGAAAATTTGGCAAGAATATATCCAATCAGTTATCGCCATTAATGTTATTGTTAGACTAATGAAGAATTTTTGAATGTTGTAAATCAAGATACAATAAACAGAGAAGAAATAATACTTTGTTTTCGTCGCTTAAATTACAGTAAATGAGAATCTTGTTACATTAACTCATCGGTAACAATATAGAGGTTAAAGATTACTGTAAAACATTCTTAACATAAAACGAAACACTTATTTTGCGATTTTCAATTTATGATTTTACGATTCTTTATTTGGAACCAGTGACGGATCTAAAAGAACCCCATGGGAACTAACTAAAATATATATATATATATATATCCAGCAACGAGTTGCTGAACTTTCCGTGTAACATTTAAAACTGCGCCATCTGTTATGATATTTTATTATTAAAACTTTGCCATTTTATAATAATTAAAAATACATAAAAAAGCTTAATTTTGAGAGTAGGAATGGGTTTTATAAAAAATTGTAAATGCTAAAAACGAGTAAAATCGTCAGTAAGTCAGACCCCACTGGAGTTACACACGACCCCTTTATCTCCCCATCCCGTCAACCTTTAATCGCCAAAATTTAATAGCATCAATACCCCTAACACACAAACCTGCAAGCAAAATTTCAGAATTTTTCGACAAAAAGTACAAGAGTTATTAAGCTTCAGTTCGAACAAAATCTTGCCCCCATACAAATCCCTCAATTTTNTATACCAGAATTTTTTTTGCATTTCTCGATGTTTTATGATCAAGTCAATTTTTGACCGATCGCCATACTTTTCCTCTGTTATATATAGAGTCGGAAAAGTAAAAATTTAATAATTATAAGGACCTGTTATTAACACGTGCATGATGATCTGATAAACAATATTTGCCATAACAATTTTCTATTTTTTTTTTTTTTTTAACAACGTTTTGAAGTTCGAACAAAAATTTAAATATAAGTTATATAATTTGTGTATTCACACAAAATACATAAATTGGGAAGGCTTTTGGAAGGCGTAATACAGGGGTGTCCAACCTTTTTGTTTCTCTGGGCCACATTGGAAAAAGTCATGGAGTTTTGGGCCACTAGTATATTATATATACTTGTCGTTATTTGAGTGAGGAGCTTTGTCCAGCAATAGCTTATTATATACGAGTAAGGAGTCAGATCGCTGTGTGGTAGATAAAATTTAAATGTGATATGTCATTAAGTCTATACTCTTTTGCGGGTTGGACACCCTGGCATAATGGGAAAGGCTTAGGCCCTTTAATTTCCATTGATCCGCCCGTTTGAAACAACGTTGCATATTTAGATATATATATATATATATGTATGTGACATGTATGTACGGGTACATATACATACAAGTATATATACACAACTCTACACATTTTATTATGTGACATATCACATTTAAATTTTATCTACCACACAGGGATCTGACTCCTTACTCGTATATAATAAGCTATTGCTGGACAAAACTCCTCACTCAAATAACGAAATAAATCATGAGAATTTATATAAAATTTTAACATGTATCTCTAATTGCAACAAAATCATCTCGTACTAATATCTTTGACTGTATTCAATGTAATTGCGACTCATGGACAAGAAACTGAAATCACAAATGGCATGTCCAACAGCAGAATGTAAGAATGTTCATAACTGTTTCTGCGCTATCCTTCAGAATTGCATACTCAAGACGATGTTTTACCACTAGCATCACAATCAAAAATCAAAGATAATATCAACTGACAAATTGGCTATATTGTTATGAAGGAATGAATGTTCTATTACTCGTTAAAGTGGAAATAATAATCGCTTAATAGCATGACAGTTTCAGTTTCAAGAATGTGAAACTAATACACAATTTTACGCTGCTTGTTCTATTTAAGATTTGATTTTGGACTTGCTTAATAATAAAACGCTATATAACAAAATTACTAAATTTAAGTGTTTTGTATTCTTTTGTACAATGCAGTTCAATTTTGCAAAATAAGCTTATATTGTGAAGCACATCAAGATCATTATGATGAGGCTTCAGCATTTACAGCGACAAATTTCCAGTATGGTAATAACTTTCAAAATTAAATTTTTCTTAGAGAAGCTGTCATCTGCTTGATCTGTAATGAAACTTGAAAAGCAAGCTTTCCGAGTTTTGCTGATTTGTAATCCATCAAATGCATTTTAGATCAACGAAAAGTTCTATATTTTAATACATAAACAAAAAATAATCATTACTAAGAAAATTGAGTTGTGAAAATGAAAGGTATTTTTTAAAAATTTGTAAGTTAGGTTACAAAATGTTAAATATCTGCATAAAAACAATTATCTGTATCATGTTGATGAAACTGGAATACCAGGAAACGCACGTATGACTCATACGCGCATTTTTGTGTATAGTGTGTTCTGAATAACGTAAAGAGCATCGTTCAAATTAAGAATTAATTTGTTTAGTTTCGCGATTTTAACGGCCAATGTAACATTTTTACAATTAGAAAAATTACGTAAATGGTTCTTAAATTAAAAACACGCACATTTTATTTTTTCGTCTAATATTTCAAGTATTTACTAATCTCTTCTATAATGATCTTCACCTAACCATTAAAATATGTAAGTACGTTTTTACGGCGAAATCTTAAAAATTATTAAAAATACAAATAATTTTCCGAACGTATATTGTACCATTTTGAAGCTTTAAGAGATATTTTATATTTAATTAATTCTTTGATAAAACGAAGTTTTTTGTTACTAATTGATAAATGTTACTGGTAAATATTACAAAGAAAACTTATTTAATAATAATATTATTATTTGTACATTTCTGTTATTGTTAATATGGGCTATCATTGCTAATGTGCATTTGTATTGTAATGTTTTGTTCATTCACAAACAGAAACACAGTATCATATATTAACATCAATCAATACCGTCAAATCTGATTTGTAGCATTTTGTTGTCGTTAAATAGCATGTCTTGTTCGACCCTGGTACAAACTCAGTGAGACCATTCACTAAATGAGTTCGTACCATGTAACACCCAACACCTTCGTATTGCTACATGAATAACTTCAGACTAAACACTCAGATATATCTCTTACACGATCTCCCAATTTCTTCAAGGATTTATCTATTGTTTTCAATCCCATTTAATCACCCTATCAGTTTCTTGTGCCTACGTATTGTTATTTAATCATTAGGATCAACGTGTGATTCTTCATAAAATGTTATTCCGAATAACTTTATTCTTGCTATGCCAAATAAGGACATACTATTGTTTTAATTAATGTTGATTTCTATACGTTCCATTAGAGCTGTTTAACGAATCCATATAACATTTAACACATAATATGTTTCATAAAGTTTTTCCTTTCATTATTTATCAAAACATTAAATTTTATATTTTATATAAAATGTAATGTTTATATACAGTCATAATAATATATATATAAATATATAAAATTTTATATAAAAGAAAATTATCAAATATGTTGCAATATGTAAATTGATATTGAAATATTTCCTATTTTGAGCAATATATTTTTCGAATTAAATAGCTAATTCGAATTATGCTAATTTATTTTTAAATTAAATTTAAATCCGTTACAAGAAATATTTCCAGAACAGTTTTATAATATTAATAGCACAATTATATTTCAAGTTTTATCGTTACAGAAATAATAAACTTATAAATAAGTGTTTATTATTATTACTATTAAGTGGGCAGAGATATGAGCTTAATTTGAATTTTTTATAATAGTAAATTTTGATATTTAATATATAATAATAAGCACAATTTAAATATTATATCATCATTATATTATTGCAATATTATAATCGAATTAGACAACATACGCTAATATCTGAAAGAATTAATTGTAAAAGCACAGTCACACAACGGAATCGTGCGCCATCTTTTGACAATTAAATAAAGTTTTTTTGTTGCTCACACACTATTAAGTGTGACAAATTTAAACACCATCTTTTATTTATTTGATTTAGTTTGATCAACTAAATAAAGATGGAAAAAACGCCAAGCGTTTAAATTTGTCACACTTAATAGTGTTTGAGCAACAAAGAAATTACAAAACACGGTTTCAAATTATAAAGATAAATAAAGCATTACAAGAATTCATCAATATGACTTCTTACACCTATTCTTAAACAAATCTATCAATTTTTCAAACCTTAAACATTTTCAGAATATTCCAAATAGTCTATCTAAAATAATAAAAATTTAACTTTTCATTTGTTCTAACACAACGAAACATCTTCCTTCCCCAAATTTAAAACTTAAAACAAATAGTTTTATAATTTTTCAGACATTTTGTAATTTATAAAATATTACATTCTATGCATTTCAAAACTTAATTTTCGATTGTAGCTAAGCACCGAATAATCGAAGTGTCACATCTAAAAACTTTTTCTCATTAAATTTCGCGATTTGGAAGTTTAAGCTGTGTATATGTTATGCTCAAAGAACGAAAATGCTCATTGAGCGGAAAAAAGTCCATAACGCATTGTGGTCTCTTAAATCATCCACAACGCGATAATGGTGTTGTGGCACTTTAAAAACTGCCACAACGCATTGTGACTAACTCAAAAACACCACAAAGCCAAATTCGCGTCGTGGCTTTCATATTTGACCACTACGCGTTGCGGTGATTAAGAAAAGCCATAACGCGTTCTGAACGTTAGCCGATGCAACCACGATACGACGCACAGTGGTTTATAACTTTAAGATATGGGTTCTAGCCTCGAAACATTTGTATTTACAAAATTTTAATGCTGAACAACGTTAGTTCTACAAGTTTTTCTAGAAATTTAATTTTCATACTTGAAAAATTTTCAAAGAAATAAAATGTATGGAGAAAAATACGCACTTGGATTTTTGTTTTGTTTAAAAGTGCTAAAGGTCAAACTACATGAACTTGTAGGTGCTTGAGGTACTCTAAACCAGTGTTTCTTAACAGGGGGGGCCGCGGCCCCCTGGGGGTCCATAAGAAGTTTGCCGGGGGCCGCGAAATTATGAAAAATTTATGCATATTTGAGTGAAAAAGGGTTTTCAACTATGGTGGATAAAAAAAAAAAAAAAACGCAATCGATTGCGATTAGATGTCTGCATGCGGATAGCATTACATACAATTGAACCTGGAATTAGTTGAGGATATTCAGCAGCTGAAATCTCATTAAATTATTTCCGAATATTTTTTTGTTTTTTCTATGAATTTTTAAAGGTTTCTTCTTTTATTTTTTGTTAAAAATTAATGAGTTTTTATGTTTAATTGTGAAGTTTGAATGTTATTTAAATAGATAATGAAATAATAGCTATGTTTTACATTTATTATATAAAAAAATAAAGCAATAATAAAAAAATCAATTTATTATAGATAATTTAACAAATATAAATTATTATTAAAAAAATGGAGGTCACTAAAAAATTATGAAGTATTTGGTGGGCTGCGGTATAAAAAGGTTAATGTTCATAACAACAGCTAAAACATTTCTGGGAGCTGCACGTCCCCTATCAACGTCAGGCACCCAAACTAAAACATTCGAATCAATTTCAACTGCATGAAATTTGAGTTGGATAGTGAAATCATTTTGTGTGTGTGTTTCTCTAGGCTGGATTTGCACAATCTCTCAGAATTGATGCTGTTCTTTCTTAAACAAAGCTTGCACGTAACATTTGCAACGAATCCCTCATTCTCGTTGCTTTCTCCGCAGATAACGCACTCTGCAGACATTCATGATACTGTGAACACTTGTGAGCTCCTGAGATTTCATTTTCACACTCACTTAATTTATCATAACAAATGTTCTTTTTACTAGCCATAATTACAACCTGTCCGTCGTATCGTGGTTGCATCAGTTAACATTCAGAACGCGTTATCGCTTTTCTTAATCACCGCAACACGTAATGGTCAAATATGAAAGCTGCGACGTAAATTTGGCTTTGTGGTCTTTTTCAGTTAGTCACAACGCGTTTTGGCTGTTTTTACAAGTGCCACAATACGAATATGGCATTGTGAATGATTTAGAGACCACAACGCATTGTTGACTTTTTTCTCTCAATGAGCGTTTTCGTTCTTTAAGCCTAATATATACATGGATATATAATATTAATATAAATGAAATATATTATGTATAAACGAAAAAAAAAATTGAATTTTTTTTTCGTTTATAACAGAAAAAAAATTTTTTTTCTGTTGAAAAAGTTCGTTTAAATTAATATTACTTAGAGCATATTTTATCTACAAGACAATTAAAAGGCCAATCTTGGCCAGATCTCTAAAAGTGCTTAAACCGTTTCGCGAATTTACAACCAGCTATTTCTTTAAATTTTGCATTTACTAATAAGTAGTCGTAAATAGAAAATAATTTGTAAATGAAAAATATATAAAAATTTCACCTTTCTATATTTTATTCACAAACTACAGGAAAAAATTAATTATCTGTTTAAATGGATGTAGTATACTGTATAATTAAATTATAATATAATTAATATGATTTTAGACAGAATTCCAACATGAAATATTTGTGCTATATAAGTATTAAGCTTCTTCAATGGCTTGAAATATTTCACAAAATGCTTTCATTATCACATTTACCCTTTGTTGTTTCTAATATTTGATTTAGTTCTTCCATTGTTAACACAGTACATTCATCTGCAGTATGGCTCAAATTCAGGTAAATGCAACCCTTCATTATTTTCGTCACTGTCAAACAATGTCTTCATTAGATCTGTTGTAAAATTTACTATTTTCTTTGAAGGTATAGTAGCATTTATGAGAGTGTCTAACAGCTCTTCTAATTCTTGTTCTTGCAATTATTTATTTCAGTTTCCATTGCTATTAATTTTGTAATCATAAAATTAATTGCTAATTGAGAAGTTGTAAGATTTGCATCATCTAATATCTTCAAGAACATCTTTAATGATATCAGATATTCTTAAAAATGTTGAAATTATATAGAACAATGAATTCCAATGTGTTTTTATGTCTAACACTAGCTCCAGTTCATTTCCTAGAACAAAGATTATTTTGCACCATACAATTAAAATATTTAACAATAGTATGAATACTTTTACATTATCTATTAAATTGTCGACATTTGTTAATTCAACTTCTGCATTTTCTTCAGCTTCATCATTGCTCTTGTCAGAAAAATAATAATCTTCAACATAATCAAAATCATCGTGATCTCAAATATCAGGAATATTTTTCTTTTTATAGAGTACATTGCAAATGGCTAAGTGTATAGTGTGATTTGATCATTATGCTTGCACCATTGTCAGTAATTCCAACTAAATGCTTTTTTAAATTTATATTAAATGTGCTTAAATGGTGCACTACTGTTTCTATTAGCTGTGTAGCTGTACATAAATTAAAAATTCTAACTAATCACAGATTAAGCATTTCATTGCCAATTCCACAGACATTAATATTGATATATTTTTGCATTTCATACTTGTCCATTTGTCAAGTATGATGCTAAATCTTTGGTCCTCTTTTAATTTTTCTTCTAAAAACTTTATCATTTCAATGTTCTTTTTTTCTTAAAAGTTATTGATTAAACTCATAACATCTCTCAGTTTTAGGAATTTTATAATCTGATTTTGTAAAACTTTCACAAATAAAGCTAGATTTTGGGATTGCTCTAATTGTTATATTATCAACAGCAGCATTTCCACAACAATTTGATCTAAAGATTTACTAATGATGAATTTGTCAAGAGTTTTAAATCATTTGGCTGCAATATTTTCTGAGCTTATAAAGTAAGGTTTTTTAAATGTTTAATCATTTCTTAAGTATTTCCATCTTTGTCGGATATTGTTGTTGAACATTTATTGTATTTATTAGTATTTTTTATATTTGCACATTCTGTAAAACAGTCCCACACATTTGATGTCTTTGGTATATTGTGATTATTTTTATTGGTATTATGTCCTTAAAAATGACTTTAATCAATCCATAAAGCTAAAATGTGAAAGTATGAAAAAAATATTAATATTACACTGGTGCAATTATTATTAAATATATATAAATAATAAACATCTTGTAGCCCGATGAGTATATAATGAAATAGTCAATGATTGCCCAAAAGATTAGGCTAGAATTTGGCTAATTAAATTATTATAAAGCAATTTGATACTAGATGGAGGCATTAGGCACCATCTCTTGATTAAATTAATAATTATAATTTTAATAATTTATTAAATAAATTTAGAACCTTCTGAAATAAAAGAACTGATCTGGGGTGGGGATTGAACCTTCAACCTTTGCTTGCCTGTTGTGCCACCCAGATCCTGAGCAAGTCTTTGCTTCCAGAGGTATATTAACTTTAGATATAACATTACATGGTTATATCTAAACTTAATATCTAGTCCAATCTTTCAGGCAATCGTTGGTTATTTCATTATATACTCATCGGGCTATAAGATGTTTATTATATATATATAATAAACATGTTACCATAAAAGACCGAAATTAGAGAATGTTGATATTCTCTGGTGAATGTTCACACGTACAAAATATGTCGATGAAAGACCGAATATTTGGTTATATTATTATACATTTAAACAATTGACGGTGTATGTTGACAAGCACAGATAAGCTTTGGTAGAGGTTGAAACGACACCCGAGAAGCCAATGTCGACAGAAAGGTGACAGTCTGTTACCAAATCCTTTGTTCTATCACGATTGAAATCATGTGGTGTCTATTTGTTATACTCTGGAACACTGCTGTTTGTCAGTCTTATGCAAGGTTTGCTGGTGTGTGCAACATTTTCTTAAATTTTATTTTTTTATCTGATACACTAATTTATATTGAATGGATACTGCAATGAACCAAGAACTTTTCTTTTGAAAAGTTACATTTATTATTGCAAGTAAATGAGAAGACAATTGTTTTTATTTTTCTCAAGAAAATTACTCTAAAATACTTTCTGAAGTAATTTCTTCTAAAACTAAGTGCAGTGCATCTTTGGATTACAGACGATTAAAATGTTTTGATGTTTTCAAAAGTAATGAAGAAAAGAAATTAATTGTACCATTAAAACCAGGAGAAACAAATATACAGTATTACGTCACCAATGATAAATTGTTCAGTATACTATCTGAAACTCACAGCAGTACAGGCCATGGAGGAAGAACACATATGCTTAAAGAATTGCAACTTAAATTCAAAAATATTACATATGAAGCTGTAATGTATTTAAATTTATGTAAACAATGTCAAATTAAACATAGTGCATCTAAAAAAGATATTGTTGTGAAACCAATGGTCAGTTCAGAGTTAAACTCAAGATATCAAGTTGATCTGATAGACCTGTAGTCACACAAGGATGGTGAATATAAGTTCATAATGGTGTATCAAGATCATTTAACGAAATTTGTCCAGCTACTACTTTTGAAAACTAAGACAGCTGAAGAAGTAGCATATCACCTTCTTCAAATATTTTTAACATTTGGTGCCCCAGCTATATTGCATTCAGATAATGGTAGGGAATTCTGTAATCAAGTCATATCCGAACTATGCGCTATGTGGAAAGATGTTAAGATAGTTCATGGAAAGCCTCGTCATAGTCAAACACAAGGCTCAGTTGAAAGGGCCAATCAGGATATACAGAATATGTTAACTGCATGGATGAACGATAACGATACAAATAAATGGTCAGATGGTTTGCTCTTTGTACAATTTGCCAAGAACACTACATATCACAAAGGAATATGCCAAAGTCCTTATGAAGCCATGTTTGGCATTAAACCAAAAAGAGGCATAGCATTGTCATCTTTGCCTGGCAAACAAATCGCAAATATTGAAACTGAAGAACAGCTCGAAGAAATTGTTAATACTTTTGAAGGAAATTTGAGCAGTGGCCATAATGAATACCATATTCCAAAGGAAAATATTGAAGAGGAGCTGCAACCCACCATGTCTTCATGTCAAGCCCTGACTGAACAACACAAATTTATTTCTATAAAAAGAGCGGCCGCGAAAGAGAATTTTCTACTGCAAGCAATGAAAATGTTACAAACCTCAAAAAGAAAATTTCCTCCTGATCAAATTGGTGATACCATACGAATACAAGTCCCTGATGTCGACTATGGCCATACAGATGCCAAAAACGTGTTGGTGATTGTTGTTGGAATAGAAAACTCCGACTTTTATAAATTAGCAATCAAAAAAGGTACCCTCAAGCAGTTTTATACCTGCAATCAGTTCATAATTTGTAAAGAAAAGTTACTTTCCATAGATGAGATTTCTTCTCAAGAAATATCGCTGAGAGAAGCAGCTGCAGATAATTCGAAAAGTGGAGGGCAAGGCTATATACGCTGACATTGCAAAAAGAAAAGTTCCACAAATAAATGCAGTTGTAAAAGCAAGGGACTCTTGTGAAATTCAGTGTCATAACAGTTTAAGTTGTTGCAATAAATAAGACTGTATAACATTAATCACATAATATATGTGTAAATTTACTATTGCATATTATTTTTCTTTTCTGATTTAAAATGTACTGTTTGTTTTAGGTTCAACAGTTTATTTACATGTGCTGTTACTTAAGCTTTCTCTTATTTCGACATATTAAAAAGTTGCATTTTTGTCTTAACGTAATAAATGCTGAATGTCGACATTTGCCAGTGTAAGTGAGATATAATGATATTTAGCAAATATTTCTGTACATACAAGAAACAACTGTGTGAATGCTGACATTCACTGCAGAATCTCTACATTTGCCAGAGTTTGTCACTAAATTTGCATTAAATACAAACAGAATGATATTGAATAAGAAGATTCCATTATGAAAAATATCCTGTATATATGAAATTCTATATCCATCCTATATACAATGAATTAAAGTTAAATAATGAACTATTTCAAAGAAATAAATATACAAGAGAAATTAAGGATGGAAAAAAGAAAAATGAAAAATACACAACATTAGTACAGCTATCTACTTGTACTGGCATAAAAGAATAATCAATGAATCTGAGAGTAAAATGCAGGAAATTGGCTCATCACCAGATTATAAAAAAGTAATCTCCTCTTTCTATTTAATATAACTGTAGATCATACACAATATTGTCATAGACAAGCTAAAGTCTTCAGTGAAATGGAACATTGTACAGGTTGTTTTTTTAAAACAGATGGTACTCAGAGACATCTGTAGAGCAATCTAACAGCTGGACTGTTGCCAAATTTGGGAGAATGACTAAGGATGACATGGGAAAGAGATTCCACAAAGAAAAAAGTAGTATCTAAATTTGCCAGTAGGGGTGGATTTGGTGCTGTTGTAATAAAACACATAAGAATTTGCATAAAACCCAGTTGCAATTAACAAACACACGAATGAATAATCAGACAAAAGGTTTCAGTGCAATAATGAAAGTTTAATTAATCAGCAAATAACCTTCTCCCTCCTTCAATGTGACCACCGTCCTGCTGGACAACACATTGCATCCTGAACACCGTGTTCTCTACAGCCGAACGTAACATGTCCACTGGAATGTTCATCACAGTTCGAGAAATGTTGTCCTTCAAGGTCATCAAGTTGGGGACACCACCAAGATAGACCTTGGACTTTAAATAACCCCACAGAAAAAAGTCACATGGGGTTAGATCCAAGGGTTAGAACCTTCACCGAGTGCAATCGCAACATCACTAACTGTCTGTGCAGACACCGGTTTTTGCCCTCTACCAGGCCGAACTGCTAAGGATCCTGTCTCTTCAAATTTCTTTATCAAGTCTTTNGTGGATAGCCATGAGGTGGTAATTTAGGCATTGTTAAATCACTAGAAAATAATTAACAATATAAATTGATTAAAACTTTATATTCCAAAAAAGTATACTTTATTTAAAAGCTAAACTTTTTTAAATATATTTTATCACAATCGAGATTGTTCTTTTCTTGTTTTCTCCTATTTGAAAAGTGTTTATATTATTTTAAAATAAATTTACCCTAATAAAATTTCTTTATAAAAATAAAATAAAAAAAATATATTCAATTATAAATAAAAATATTCATACTACTGGTATCATCATCATTAATACTTTTAAAGATTGCTATAAATTAAAGTTAGCTTTACAAACAGACCCAGTAAAAATATCCTATTTTATCTATGGATTTGAATTTAGAATGACAAATATACAGGTAGCCCTCGGTTTATGCGCAGTTCCATTCCTACAAAAGCCAGCGCAAATTGAATCGGCGTAAAATGAACCCATATTTACAGTATAGGGTTAGGTTCTACATAAGTGAAAAATAAGCAAATAATTTTGTTCATTAATTAATACAATATAATACAAAATACATTTTAAAAATTAAATTTATATATTTTATCATAAAATAAAATGAAATGGTTTTATTAAAAAATTTTAGTTTTGGATCTCGTACATTTTTCAGAAAAAAGGATCCATTTTTAATTGTTTACATTTTTGTATTCTTTCATTGAGAATTTTGAAATATGGTCAAATATGATGCTCCTTTTTACATTTGCACTTTGCTCCCAATCATTGTCTAACTCACAAAATTCATCTGTCAAACATTCCATAGTTGAAAGGATACATTAACTCAACATAGAGCTACAGACAAGCGGAGACAATGATTGGTTGACCATTGGTTGCCATAGCACATATATAAGATCAGTTTGAGCGAGAAAATTGAAGGTGGCTAAGGAGAGATAGATATCGTCTGACTGACAAGAAGTAGATATCGTCTAGCCACCGAGAAGTAAATTTGTCTCACTAATGATAGTTTGTGATCGCCAGAAGTTCTACTGCGTCGTAAGATGTTTTCCTGAACAAACTGATATGAGATACATTCATTGGCAGCTATGGATTCGGATGCCATTTATTGGACTATTAAGTTTAATAACTTGACTCATGAGTACCTAAACGTTTAGTATTTGAATATTAATTTAATGCAAATGTATACATACCCAATAATATTAAACATAAAAAATAAATATATTCAATAAAAATCTTTGTTTTAACAAATGTACAATGTCACGGCTCGGTAAATACATCAACACCGAAATGAAAATCAGTCTGGCATAGGGAAAATCGGAGAATTACACCGCGAAATGGCAAATTGCATAGCGGCGTTATTGTGAATCAGCGTAAATTGAGCCGGCATAAACCGAGGGCTACCTGTACAGAAAAATCCAAGTTTAAGGTAATCCTTAATCTTCTCCCTCTCCCTGTGGAGGGAAATTTCAGAAAATCCCTTTCTAGTGTACATTTTAATGTACTCTAACTGTGTACCAAATTTCAGCTTTCAACTTCCATTTAGGCTCTACACTTAATATTATTATTACTATTATTATCCACCCATCTCAATTATATTATAAGATTAGGATCAAATTTATGAAAAATCTCATTTTCACTATTTTATTTATAGGATATCGGTTAGAAAAAAATGATTAAAATCATTATTGAATAAATATTTAGTATTTTAAAAGATTTTTTATTTAAGTAACTTAAAAAATAAAAAATTAAATAACCTATAAAATAAAAAAAAATCAGTATAATCATCACATATAGGTAACTGCTTATTTATTTATTAAAATAAAATCAGAAAATTTTTCATAATAATGGAGAATTAACTTACTTGATGATAACCTTACTTGAATTAAATGATTAATTTTAAATTCTAAAATCTAAAAAAATTTGTTTGGAACATTATATTTCAATATTTAGAATTTTTCAACTTTAAAACAAATTCGTTTATTTTGGATTTATTGTTTTTGGGTTATCTGAAAGAGGGAAATGATTAAAATATTTATTAATTGTCAAAATGTATACTATATGTACCACTATTTATTTTTCTTCTTTATTATTTACACTTTATACTGACTAAAACAAACTCTTTTCTTTCCTCATGGGATGGAATTTACAAAAAAATCCCTTCTTAGTGTGCATTCTCATGATGTACCCTACCAAAACACAGTCAATAACGCAAAAAACTGCATCTAAAATAGTACAGTAGAAGCTGAGTTATTCAGGATAAGCCTCAATTCTCTTCCTCTCCCCACAAAAAGGAATTTCGAAAAATTCCTTTTTAGTCTACCCTAACTGTCAATTTCAACTTTCAACTCCTAACCGTTTGGGCTCTGCACTTATTATTATCATCATTATCAAACCATCTCAATTATATTATAAGTTGGGAATGTTTGTTTGTTTGCTATGCACTCCTAGGCCATCAGACCAATTGCCATGAAACTTGACAGTTATGTTAACATACTTCTAACTTATATGTCATTATACATACCAAATCTAAATATTGATTTAATTTCTATATATTGATAAATGTCTACATAAATCCAACTTGCTGACTTATATGTAGCGCCATCTATTGGCAAATTTAAAAAATAAATAAATAAATATAATTCAGACAAAAATGAATATAATTTATAAAACAAAAATTATATTCACTTGATAACTGTAATAATAATATAGCACAAAATAGATGCACTATATTGTTACTGCAACAGGTAGCACACAGCAGTCATGTGTGTCCAGTCAAAAAAGTTACACTGTAAAAATTATATAAGTGTTTGGATTTCCAACATCTAGCAATTCTGATTTTTCATTTCTGAACAGTTTCTGAATTTATTCCGTTAATTTTTCTATAAAACTCACTATTTACAAGGACATACTTCCCATATAGTTCATAGGCATTCTAATAATGTTCTTTAAATGGGTTTTACCACATACACTTTTGAAATTTATGATTAATAACACCAGGTGTAACAATTACTGCAACATTTACTTTTATAAACCTGGCATTACCAGGTGTAACAAGCTACTTATTCATAAAACTTTAAATGCACAGTGTCGAATGTTGTATCCAAAACACAACAACAAGTTTTCGGATTATCCAAAATTTTATTTATCTGAAAGACCCTTTGGTGCAATCAAGTTCAAATAATTGAGTTTCCACTGTGATTCTAATATATAATTGTAAACAAGAATAAAAGTCAAGCATTATACTATAGAAAAATTCAATAATAAAGTGTAAGTAATGAGGATAGAGCAAAAGAAGCAAAATATAATAAAGCAAGTAAAATCATCATAAATTAATTGCTCAAGATTTAAAAAATATAAATTTATGAATGTTATGAATGTTACTTACTCTTTTAAAGTATTAAATAAATTTTTCAGCCAGCATAAATATCTTTCTGGACTATTAAAAAAATAAATACAAATATTTATTAACTATCACATATAATTAAATTTTAAAACATTATATTTTAATTCATGTAAATGATAAGTTTATTTCACAATATTATGTAAGTTATAATAAATTTTAAGCAATAAAAAGTTAAACAATTGCAAACAAAACGTTTTTAACGAGTAATTGAACTTAAACATAACTTCTGAATGTTTTCAGCCTTCACCAAGGCTTGCTTCAGGTAATGAACTAAACTGACCGTTAGAATGATGGTATTCGACTTTAAACTTTGTATATATCAAATTCATGCAGCCGATTGACTTCTTTTGAATTTCTCAAACAGGTATTTCCATGCAGTCTCGCTGTCTTTAAATTTAATACAGTTGCCTTTCAAGTTGGCTTTATAAATTTCCAAGGCCTCCAGGTGATGAATTAGGCAGGCTTTTCAAATAGATCACATTTGTCACCTGTAGGCCTTGAAAATTTATAAAGCCAACTTGAAAGGCAACTGTATTAACTTTAAAGACGACAAGACTGTGGCACATTCATGGAAATACCTGTTCGAGAAATTCGAACGGAGTCAATCAGCCACGTGAATTTGATATATACAAATTTTTAAAATTAAGACAGGACAATTTAATTTGTAATAAAGAAAGTTATTTCTTTAGTAGACAATACATACAAGATGTGTCTTTTATACAATTTGTCCTTTCTCACGCAGATGAGAGATAAGACAATTCCACAGTAGAGTCAACCTTTTATTTGACGCTTCTCATCCATCTCTAAATGCAAAACAGTCCAATATTTCCCCCTAGCGGACGAGAAGCCTCAAATAAAAGGTCAATTCCTCTGTGGAATTGTCTTATCCCTCATCTGCATAAGAAAGGACAAATTGTATAAAAAACACATCTTGTATGTATTGTCTACTAAAGAAATAACTTTCTTTATTACAAATGATATATACAAAGTTTAAAGTCGAACATCATTGTTCTAACAATCCAATTTGGAAGTCAGTTTAGTTCATTACCTGAAGCAGGCCTTGGTGAAGGCCAAAAACATTTGGAAGTTACGTTTAAGTTCAATTACTGGTTAAAAAGGTTTTGTTTGTGATTGTTTATTTCTCACTCCAGTATTTCTAAGAAGACTGTTACAATAAAAAGTTGCAATAATTTCTAAAATAATAAAAATTGTAAGTCTTAAAATTTAATAAACTAAAATTCAGTTAAAGTAGAGAGAAAAATAATTCTATAGATTTAAAAGTTTGGTTAACACAATGCACATTTTTGGCCTTTTTTTGTTTAATATTGACTTTTAAAAGTCAATTTAAACCAAAAAAGTCAATATTATCACCAAAAAAATACACACCAAACAATATTAAAAAAAAAAAAACCCAACATATTTTTAATTTGTCTATTTACTTTTAGTTTTGTAATCTGAAAATGATTTAAGAAATTGAAGATGCTTGCTCTATTAAATAATTCCATTGAATTTAAGAATTTGGTTCTGAAAAGTTTTTTCAATTTTTAATTGGCATTTATTACTTTTGAGAGAGATCATATCTAACAAAAATATAATTTTAATGATTCCAATCAAATAACTACTCACCACACCGAAATTACTTAAAAAAACTAAGTAGATGGAACCAGTTATGGTGTGATAATGAAACATTGAAAAAATATTAGAAAAAACGAACATTTTCGAACCCCTTCTGGGCTCTGCATCAGGTTCTTAACCGTTCCTAGACAGATATTCGATTAACATTCCCAGATGTTATTTGATTCAATTCTAATCAAATTTTGAATCCTGAACATTGACATATCAGCAGAGGTAAAATTTAATGATTTAATGATTCCATTTAATGATTTAAAATATTCTTGTTAATAAGGAAAATAAATTAAAAAATATTTTGTTTCAATCATTTGATCATTCTCAGCTTATAAGAAATCAGTTAACATATTAAAATGATGCAAAACAAACTTGAAATTATGAATAAGTTAGTGTTAACTGAACTGTAAGCTGAGAATAAAATGAAAAGTCCAAAAAAATACATAGAGAGGAAAAAAACCCTGCTTTACTGAAGCTTAAAAAAAGAACAATCCTTGTATAAAACTGCTTCCATAAAGTTTATTGATTCATTAAAATTTATTAATTCATAATCTTGAAAAAACTTTTAATAAACTAATATCTTTAGAAGTTAAAGTATTGCTTTGACTTCATTAATTTGTTAATTTCATTTTTTAACAAAACTGTTGTTACAAAATTAATTTTTTTTAAACACCTCCATTTTTCAAATTGCCATGTGATTTTACAGTTTGTATTCTTTTTCTCACTTTTACAATTCAGTGTATCTAAAGATCCCTATCTTTAGATACACTGAATTGTAAAAATGAGAGAGTCTGATCCAAAAGTGCTTAAATTACAATTATTGTTTAAGCTCCAGTAAAGCAATATTCTCTCTCTAAACCGATAATATTTAATTAAAAATACTTTTTATTAAAACTGTTGCTATATAAACTAACAGTTATTTGGTTTATTTAACTACCGTATATTTTAGCAGATAAGATGACCTTCATATAAGACGAGGTATAAATTTTCATCAAAATTTTATAGTTTTAGCATATATCTGTCCTATAAGATGACCCCAAACTATCAACAGCCTATGAATTTAGTTTAGATCAGTGATCATCATCTGGATAATAATACTGTATAGTGTATATGGAATTATGTCCTGTTCGTAATTTTTCGAATAAACAAATTTTATTTTCTTGCATCTAGTGGCACTGCCTTGCAATTGTTGCAAACATTGGCAGTGATTTGGCATTTGGGTAATGATCTTGACTATTCACAAAAACGTTGTATAGGCTATTCTATTTTGTGGACATACCCTACTCTCTACTAGTAAATAATTATGGTTTGTCCGTTTTTTCTTATAATGGTTTTAATTTATATAAATTTCAATCTAATTTTTTTTGTATCTGTCCTATAAGAGGACCCCAAATTTTGGGGCCTTTTTTTATGATTCAACTATCATCTTATCTGCAAAAATATATAATATTCATCAACATGGTACAAAGTCTTGTGAACTTTTATATCACATTTTCAGCATGTGTGCATATGTTTATATAACAAATTGACTTATAAGCTACAATTTTGCAAATAAAGTGATCTCAAGATTTACTTAAGAATTCTGGTTTGGGCATATGAAGTCACCCACTCCCAAACATACAGTAAACAAGAACTAAAATATGAACATGGTGTAGCATTTCTATTGATCATACATCAGAGATTTTTCATCTTTTAAAAGTAAACTTAAATAGATTGCAATTTACAGTGTTTGGTTTTAATCAAACCAAAAAAAATCAACTATTTTTTTCCTGGCTATCATAATGCAAATATTGACACCAGTTATGCCAAAATCTAGTTATATAATCCTTCTCATAGCTGTCTCACGCACTAACCCTTCCAACCACACTTACAGTAAAATGGAACTGGTTGAGAGTTATGACCATTCCTGTGAAAAGTGAGCTTTCTCATATTTTGACAATTTTTGCTAAATATGGCAATGCACAAATTGAAAGACTGGATGCAAGAATAGGTTTGACTATTAGGTTTCATTGGACAAAAATCTACAGCCTAGAGAAATATGTAGCAAAATGTCTTCACCACTTCACTAAAATGGTAAAGACACTTTTCTGAAAGAATCAGTAACTTATGCATGTGGAAGTGATAACCTATCATAGTAATGACTATCCAGAACATTGCAAGGATGAATGAACTGATAAGGGAAACCCATCAAATTTTGGTAAGCAGTGTTGCCAAAACATTGAACATTTTGTTTGATTTAGCATGTGCCATCATGCAGAAGAGTGCCACATCAACTGACATCTGATTATCAATCTATGTAATTATTAATAAGCTTAACACATTTATTGCATCATCAAGGAGGAGGAAATGATTGCCTTGATTTCCTTAAAAATTTAGAGGCAAGAATGATATAAATCAAAAAATTAATACTGGTATTTTATCTGCCTACTAATATAAATCAAAACAATATGAATGGTTTTTCCAAATATAAGTAATCAAATATTTCATAAATAAAATTTATAAATTTTATACTTACTGAAATTTTTCTGTCAAACGCTGCAATTTTTCCAAAGTTAATTCTTCAGTTAATAGAACATTTGATGTTGCAACATCAGTTCTAACTAAACAATTTAATATTTATTGTTATATAAAAACTTTACAAATCACAATTACATTTTAATATAAATTATTCACAAGAATCTATATTATACCTCTTAATCCAGCACTTTTGGGATGAGTGAGAAGAGTTAACCATTCATTCATTAAATCATGTTCTGTTACAATTTCACAACCAAACTGTGCTTGATATTCCAATTTGGAAAATAGAAACCTCTAAAAAAATAAATATTTTAAAATAACTTACTAAATACTACTAATACTATATACTAATATCTTTGATACTACATAAATAGATAATAAAAATCCAAACAAAAATATGAAATTTTGCCATCAATTATATTGTTTTGAAAGGAAATCAGAATCCTGACAAGATGTTCTACTTGCTAAATTTCATAAAAAGTGCGCAAAAAGCAAATGATACAATTCTGAAATATTTAACACCTCAGCTACTAGTTTTCAATACTTCGAATTTCTAAGTTTTAAATAATCAGAATTAGTTAAATAACTTATCTATAATAGCTGATAAGCCCATAATTATGACATAAAATTAAATAGACCTAATTATATTTAAATTTAAAAAATTGTTGAATCGGCATACTATAATACTAAGTCAAATCACCTAGAATTGCCACATAAATCTTTCAAGTAGTTCTCTCAAGCAGCATATATGATAATAAATCATTTCAAAATTATTTATTTTAGTCAAATCTACAGTAGTTATAACATCAAATTATTCAAAGTAACTTGATTTCAAAAATCCATATTACTTTGATAATACACTGCTCAAAACAATTACAATTTGCAATATCATCTTAGCATTTCAATAGAATTTATGGTTTGTTTTATAAAAAGTAATGACAAGAAAAATAAAATGTATTAGATCTTACTGTAAATACTTTAATAAAGTTTATGGTAAAGACATGACAAATTAACTAATAAATAAATTGACATCTTGCACCTAGTAAAATAATAGTGTTTTTAATATGCAAAAAATAAAATTCAACAGATAATCAGATTTTCAGTATAAATAGCATTTAAATGTAGATTCTGAAATACAAGTATTAAAATCAAATTGATAGTTCTGATATTCCAATAAAATAATTTTAACATCACAATATCCTTTAACTGTTTTGAGCAGTACATATATTGTATTTTCTCAGTTCTACAATGTATCTTAATTTTGAAAAAAAATTATTTAGTTAGTTATCAATTTTATGTTTGAACATAATAAAACTGATTAACAAGTAAGAAAAACAATATAAATGTTACACAATAAGTAATATTTACCAGCTCTACTTCAGCACTTTTCTACATAATATACTTCTTAATGCTATATCTTAAATATTAAAAATAAGTTATAATAAAACTTTCAGAACCAGTAAATCTCATTTGAACTGATGTAATTGTTGAACATTATAGCCCTTATTATATGAACATATGATACAAACCCTTGGTGATGACTGTTGATTGTTATTTTAGACAGCAAGTCTGAGATATTTATATTTTGGACATTCAAAAATAGATTAAAAAAATGTGCATCTTAGATTCAAGGAAATGTGATTTATAAGGTATATATAACCAAACATTTTGTTCATTTATTTCTATCAATAATCAATGAATGTTTTGAGTCTTATTACCAGTCACCCACAGTGCTGACTGGGGACAACTTAATGCCCACAACCTTCCATGGCTTTTGGCCAACTTACACTTTAATCCTGGCATGGTATATACACAATCACAAATGTTGAAACTTTTTATAAGACTATTTATGCAGATTATGAATGCTAACTTGATAAAATATTAAAAATAATATGAATAAATTAAATAGAATGTTTAAGATAAGAAGAACAAACATTTAAATGAAAAAATGTAAAATGAGAAAACAATTGACTACATCTCTGGAACTACATCTAAGTGGACAATTCTTAACATACATCTCACATTAGGCTCTTATAAGATTTTTTTTTATAGAAATTAAAACATTAAACAAAATATAATTTATTTAAAAGCATTACAATTTTTGGCTATTATAAAATTAATCTTTAATTACTTACAGGTTTATGATTAACAGCATCTTTACAATCCAGTTTACTTCTTAAAAGAAGCTTAAATTCATCCAATTGCCATAAATTATATGTTACATTTTCATTTTGTAAAGAATCAGCTGAGATAAACTTATTTGGATCTTCTATATAAGCATCTGATTCTAAAAATTATATAAATTAAACAGAGTCAGTTATCTTCAATATTATAAATACACAGTGATAATATTATCATCAAAACTTGCATATTGGCAGTTTGTATTAGGAGCAGTCAAATGAAAACGAGACAAACTATATAACAAGTGTGGCCCGGAAGTTGGTAATGCAGGTAGGTGTGTATATAGAAGTGTCCTCTATTGGGAATCAGGAAGGAACAGTGTGAATGTTCACCGCTGTGCCATTTGTCTGTTAGACATGCTCAAAGTGAGGTCGGCAAGTCATGTGTGCATCCAACATCACTAATGAGGTCCGCTGCTTGTTGACTTTCTGGAATACGGTGCCACAATTAACGCACAACGGTACATAGAAACTTTGCAAAAATTGAAGCATGCCATCAAATCCAAACACCCAGGAATGTTGACAGACAGCATCATTCTGTTACAGGATAATGCCCACCCACATGTTACCAAGGTTGTTTTGACTATGCTGCAGAAGTTTCCAGTGATGCTGTCTGTCAACATTCCTGGGTTTAACAGAAGTTTCACTGGAAACTTCTGCAGCGTAGTCCACACACATCCTCCATACAGTCCCGATTTCTCCCCATGCAATTTCGATATTTTTGGAGCCTTGAAGAAAGACATTTGTGGCCGTCAATTTGCTTCGAACAAAAAGGTGCACATCTGGGTACAATCATGGTTCTGTAGGCAACCGCAAACATTTTTCTATGAAGGCATTGACCGTCTTGTCTCACAGTGGGATAAATGTATTAATAGTTATGGCAATTACTTTTGAAATAATAAACAGTTTACTTACTTTTTTCCCATCTGTCTAGTTTTCATTTAACTGCACCTAATAATTATAAAAATTATGAAGCTTCTCAGGCTTATTTAGTAGTAGTAATAAATCATTAGATCACAATTTCAGAGTTTCCACCAAGTACAACTTAATACAGGTTATAATAGATCCAAGTAACAGTTAAAGATAATCATATTTTCTAAGATGTCTGAGAAAAGTATTTCAATTGGCCATTGTATTCTTATTATATCTACATTTTTGTATTTCCTTGATTCATATATTGATTAATTATTTCATGATTTGAGTAGATTGGAAAACTTTTTTGAAACATATGGCCCTCCTACAAGCTTACACAATATAACATTTTGCATATTATTTTACTATAACATTTGTTTGTTTATTATTTATTTTTTGTAGCTCCTTAATAAATAGTAATTATTTGTAATTGCAAAAAACTAACAAATTATTTAGGTCAATATGAAATAAGCACACATGAAAATACTCTAAATGTTTTGAACATGAATTCAGAATGCTTTTTCAGAATTCTTTTCTTATATTTTATTTTCATATTGCAGTTATAATTATAGCTCTCTACAGAATTACTTTAAAAATTTTCATTAATTAAAAATAATTAAAGAACATAATACAGGTAACCCCCGTATAACACGGCACTTCTATAGCACGGATTCACTCTGACACAGTTCGAGAAATGAGTAAAACCCTCATACAACATGAAATGTAATAAATTTTTACATACTTAAGTACTAATAGTTCACGAAAATTATTATTTTCGTGAACTATTAGTACTTCAGTGTGTAAATTTTCTTTTCTCGTCTCCATACACATGGTCCTTCGCGAAAATTGTTTCAATTTTGCCAGATCTCGACGCTTCTGCTTCTGGTGTTGCCAGATGTTTTTCCCTTATTCCATAAGTGCTTAGCACCATATAAGGAAATTTATAAAGATCTTTTAACTAGAAGCAAGCAATCTAAAATTACATACACTTTTTGCAAAAGGTAAAGCATGAATCTGAAAATAATGCAGAAAAATGCTCAGAGGATAACGATAACTTGCCAAAAATAAAACGCTCTCGGTTAATAGTGCTTTTAGTGATGACAAAGAAAACATTGTTTAATTTATATTAATATGTATCACTTAAGAAAATTTTAATAAAGATATTTAACTTAATTATAAAAATATAGTAGCATGTTTTTTAATTTTTGGAACCTAACCCTCCTTTTTGTACTAGTTCTTTGATTCACATAACACGGATTCGCATAACACAGCAATTTTTTGGAACGTAACTACCATGTTATACGGGGGTTACCTGTACAGTAACATAATAATTTTAATTTTAAAAATTTTGAATAAAAAATAAATGAAATCAAATAAAATCTATTTTCTTTTATGAAGAAAAAGTAACTTAAAATTTTCATTAACTATTATTACTATTTTTAAAATAAAACATCTTTATTCTTCCTTTATTTATTATTTTAAAAAAGTAGGCAGAATTAACACATAATAAGCCAAACAATTGCCAATTGTTTGGCTTATTATGTGTTAGTAACTATTACTAGCATTGAATTGAGCTACTTTACCACTATTTTTATTAATTAAATTCTAAGTAATTTGATACTAGAAGAAGATATTATATGCCATTTCTTATTAAATTTAATAATTATAATAATTAAATTAATATTTACTAAATAATTTGGAATATTCTGAAATAAAAAAATCAGTCTGGAGCAGGACTTGAACAAACAGCTCCTGCTTACGGTGTGGATATTGCCAGTTAAGCTACCAGGACCTCCGTCCAACCCTTCACTTCCAAATGTTTATTGATGAACTAACACATGACCTGATTAAATGACTTTATTTAGTTTTTACAATGATGATATGCATTTTGAATGTCTATAGCACTCCTCTTCAGTCATCAATCTCTTAAAATAATTACATATCTTTTGACCACATTTCTCATGAAGAGAAGTTTAATATCCAAATAAGCATCTTAATAAAGTTAACTTGTAAGGAATGAGCCCAAATGTTGTTTTATTTTATGGAGTTGTTATATTTTGTTTCAGTTCATTTCTTATTTTGGAGAGTTTGCTTTCTTAAAGCAGCAAAAAACTGGCACCTCCATTCAAAACTAACTTCCACTTAAAAACTGATACTTGCCCCATGCTTCTTGTTGCTTATGTATGATCTTAAACTTCTGTCTATGAAAAATGTTGTTGGAAGAGATATATGTAACTACATTAATGAACTGATGACTGAAGATGAATGTTGCACACAATCAAAATGATTATCATCATTGCAAAACTAAATAAAATCATTGCATCAGATAGATGATCTGTTAGTTCTTTCTTCTTTTTTTAGAACAAATAAAGAAAGGTTTATTAACAGCAAGACTGTCCACAATTGGAAATTGTGGAAAGCTTTGCTGTTAATTGTGGAAATAGAAATAATTATAGATCTATAAATTTCCACTGTCTGTCTGTCTTTCCATAATCTCAAAAACAATGTTAGATGAAAGTTGAGACCAGATATGAAAAGCTTAGGGACAGGATGTCCCAATTAACTACAGGGTGAGTCAAAATTATGTGAACAATCTTAATCTTTAATTAAACATTATTAATGTAACATCTTAATTTTGTTTCGTTTTCTATTCTGATTGGTCGCGATGGACCACTGTTATGGCCTCCCCAATCTCTGATATTCTGGCACTAAATTGTACTGTTGAACATTGGTTTGAGTGCATTAATTGTGCTGGTGGTCATGTTGAGACTCTGTATAACACAAACTTTGAGTAAATGCTTTCTCTCAAATAGTGTTCACATAATTTTGACTCACCCTGTATATACGAACTTCCAGTCTAGAATGAAAGTCATGTGATTTCAATTCAAAAATTTATCAGAAAAAGTATGATGTACAGGGGCAAGACACTGCTAATTTGTGGTAGAGAGCATATACAGTCGAGCCCCCTATAACACTATTGATTATTCCGTTTTATATGAATTCCATGTTGTACAAGTCACTTAGATAAATATGAGAGCCATTCATAGGCATGCACTCGTATTTGTAAAATCTAAGTGACTCGTACAACATGGAATTCATATAAAACGGAAAAATCAACAGTGTTATGGGGGGTCGACTGTATTTTAAATTAAATAAATTAAAAATATGATTAAAAATTGCATCCTGGCATTGTAATGATATCACAATAAATAATTGCTCATTCTTTCTAAATTTGCTTAAAAATTTTGCTAATCTTCTTTCAACATAAAATTCAATTTTGAGTAATATATGGTCTATTCAATTACAGCTAAAAATTTAATTTTTTAACAAGATTCTGATAAATTTCAAATTATATCAATTGGGAAAATATATGGAAGAATAATTTGTTGTATGCATTATTTTAATAAGAATATCATTAGTTATAATATCATAGATTTATTCCAACATACCTGTATTTATTTCACATTTTTCTTGAGATTTATTTAATGAAAGTTTTGTTTTTGTACCTAACATTTCTTCTTGCAAACAAAGTATTTCATCTAATGTAGATACTACAATATATATAAAATATTACTATTTATGTAAAAATTTTAAGATGTAACATAACTTTCATCACTTACTTTTTGTATCTGTATTTCCATTTTCTGAAATATTTAAAATTACTATATATTATTTATATTTATTTCAACTATATATACAATGTATGCCTTTTTTTATGTCAAACATTGTTAATAAATGAAATTTATTTAATATAATTTTATTGACTTACTTTTAGTTTCTTGATTTATACTGTCTGGAAATGATATACATTCAGCAGTTTTATTGTTTACTACTTCATTACAATCACCATCTTGAGTTTTATTATGTTCATTTTGTAAACAAACTGCTTTATTAGTTTTATTTTCATCACCACCATCATCATCTTGTGGTGAAGATATGGTTGTATGCAATATATCATTAGTAACATCAACATCAGTAGTTGTATAATTTTCATCTATAACAAGGTTATCATCTTCAGAATCTTCAGAAAGATTATTAATATTAATCCGACACTCATTTTCTGTGGGGGACTGCTCCAATCCTTTTTCAGCAGTATGATCAACTTCCAAAATATGAATATTTTCTTTCAAACTTTTACTATCATCCAAATTACTTTCCAGAATAATTCCATCTTCAGTAATTTCTAATTCATTTATTTGGCTTGAAGTGTTTCTTTAATAAATTTAAACAAAACATTAGATAATATTTTTTAACTATTAGATATAAAATTCAATTTTCATTTTTTACTATTGTAAATAATATGAACACACTATAAAACAAAAATCATTTAAAAAAGATGCAGCTACACAGACTTCATTATTATGTTTTATATTATTGTTTTTATAAATCTATAAAAACAGAATATAAAAATTGTATACTATAATTTTAAGTAAATTACTAAATTTAATAAAACCATAAATTACTATTAAATATTTTGGCAAAAATTAAAATAGCATTGGTTTTTGTGCATGGTATTATCATTATCCTGATGTGGTTTGCAGATATTTAATTAAAATATACAGTAGATCCCCCTATAAGACGGATTCCTATAATTATGACTCCTATAAGACGGCAAAAAAATTGTGGCGGTATCCGTAAACAACGGTAAAAAACTCCTATAATTACATAAAACGTCATCGGGCAGCCAAACTACTTTCCGCCGTCCAGCGCCACACTACGAACAGTTTAGGCAGTTAAATTGAGTTTAGTATCATCTGTACATATAATTATATATAAATTAGGTACTGTACATATAATTATATATTAACTTAATTTATTGTAACTTTATTATAATTATATATATACTTTCCGCCGTCTAGCGCCAGACTACAGACAGTTTAGGCAAGCTATCATCTCCACAGTATGTAAATTAGGTACCATAAGTCTAATACAGCACTGTAATTTTATACATTTCTTGTGAAAGAAACATTTCTTATTCAATGGTGATTAAAATTATTTATATTAATGATGTCTCCAAAGTTCAACGAAGTTTTCACAGAAAAATAACATCAGAAATCGTGGCCACGGTTTGCTGCGCTGTTCCGCAACGAAAACAAGCTTGAGCAACAGCGATGTCGAATGGTGCACACTCGGTAAGTAATCCTACAATTTTTTGTTTATAGTGCAGTTTATATGGATTATTTCCAAAAAAAAATATACATATTTTGGAAATGTTGAGTTGAATTAGTCTAGAATCAATTAATTTTATGGAAGAAAACCTTTCAAACAGCCGTAGTCCGTAAACTTCACACATGTTGGGCTGTGATTGGCTGTGATTCCTACAAAATCGATTCATAAAGAACGGAACGTATCTACCGTCTTATAGGGGGATCGACTGTATTGCAATGAGAGAGAAAAGGAGGAAAGAAAAAAACTAGAAGAAAATTAAAAATTATACTTTTAAATGTAATTATATTAATACGTTAAAATTTTGATTTACTTTATTTTCAGCAAAACAACTTAGAACTTAAAACCAATTTATACATAACATAATAATTTTATCAGCTTGAACAAATATAACTTTTCTTATTATTAAAGTTCAATAGTTTTAACTTTTAAATTAAAATAAAAATAACCTGAAGTTATTGTAGAAATATAAACTAATTAAAGGTTATATTCTCAATCTTTAAATAATAAGAAAGATAAATAATTTATTGACAAAACTATGTCTTGTTTATAAAATCGTACTGCCTGCTAGGTAACCAGCTTGGAGGTATGAAGGAGTAAATGTAAGTAGTTGAGAACGTGCAATAAGTTTGAAATTAAGAAATTTTGTTCTCCTTGGAATATTCTGCACATTCTTTTCTTTAAATTGTTCATTTTGCCTGAGGATGACGATTATATATTAGTCAAAAGTACTTGTGATAGAGAAACTTTATTAACACTGAACTCAGTGAACTTTATCTAGAGATTAAAAAAATAATTTCAGACGATATGATAGCCAGGATTATTTTTTCAAAAACAGGAAATTTTTGTTAGGCATTGACAAAAATTCAACTGGGGTGACATGCAATGTTGAGAAAGTTAAAAATTGGATAGGTTAATTTCACCAAAAATGCATCATGGACAAACCTCGTGCCAGTGAAGTTTGAAAGATCATGCTCAAAACCAGCAATACCAAAGAAGATTGGAGAATGAGAACAGGACCGCCTTGAGCGTCAAAGTGAGTCTCCGAGACATAGTCTTGTCCCAAATATGGCCTTGCCATTTTACTTGTTTTGTTTAAATTCTAAGATTTTTTAATTGTTTTGTTCTAAATTTATTTGAGAACATTAAAAATATTATAGTAAAAATAGATTACTATAACTTCTGTCATATAAGACACACTTCTTCCAAAAAGTCTACCATTAAAAAAAATCATCCTTTATCCAACCTAAGGTGATATAAGGTTGGATAAGTTTCAGCATTATAGTTATTGTACAAAATTTTAAATGACTAGTCAGACCAACCAGAGTGAGATACATATGATCTATTGAATAAATTATTATATAAAGAAAAGTGTAAATAATGCTTATATACAAAGTCATCAGTCTGAAGTGAATCACTTGATGTATTCATCTTATTTGGTTTATGGTACTAAATAATATAGTTTTAATGTAATTTTTCCTCAACTTGTCACTACAGACAAATGTTTAGTTAATAATTTAAGCCAAAATTACTTTAAAATTTGTTATAATAAGCATAACAATGACAATGTGAAGTGGCTATTGTTGAGATGATTAATGAGTTTATTTTAGTACATATAGTTATATATGTAATATGTTATATATATATATATATATATATATACAAAAATGGACATGTATATCCCTATATTTCACTTTTTCACAAAAACTACACATCGCACGTGAATGGTGTTTGTATGTGGTAGTAGCCCCAAGTATCCATTCGTGCATAGGGAAGGTTGCGTCTCGATAGCTATAAGGGTGCGGGAGATATGAGGCTGAAAGTAGTTGAAAGTGGCTTTCTGTTTCGAATGTTTTGTTCGAATTTGTTCGAATTTAATTCGAACATAAAATTCGAATATTGGTTCGATTATAGAACGATTGTAAACGTTCCAGAAACGTTGAAAATAGTTCGTTTGACTAAACGTAAAAATTCTCTAATTAGTCTGGAAACGGGGGACCTAATTCTTGCATTCTGTGAAAACAAGTAAGATTGGCTATAATGTAATTATCTTAATCTTCACTATCGTTACTTTTTAAAAACCCAGCGAAACGAGTCCTTGCAGCTAGATTCTAGATTACTTAGAAAAACAGTCTTTTATATATATAAAAAACTATATTACATACAAATGTACGAACAAACAAAAACCCAGCAAAGCGGGTCCTTGCAGCTAGTATAACTATATAATAATATGTGTTTTATGTACATGTATTACTATATATATATATAGTTATATGTATAATCAAGTGCTTTATTATACATATGACTATGTTTAACTTATTGCTTTTATTAATTTTTCTAATCAAGATTTGAACTTACATGTGCATGTTTGTGTGCACATATTTTCTTTTCTTTGTTATCAGAAAGAGTCCTATGTAGATATTAACTCGTCCCCAAAATTACACAATAACTAATTTATTGCAACTCATTACAACTTACAACAAAAAATCCAGCAACAAGTTGCTTAACTTATCCAGTAACATTTAAAATTTCATGTGGTGCCATCTGTTATGACATGTCATTAAAAAAATTTTTTAATTTTTATTATAAAATGGCAAAAAGCTTAATTTTGAGATTAGGGATGAACTTTATAAAAAGTTGTAAATGCTAATAATGAGTAAAATTGTCATTAAGTCTGAACCTACTAAAGATATGACATACATTCTTCCCTCTATCTCCCCACTCCCTGGACCTTTAGCCACCAAAATTTAATAGCATTAATCCCAAACCTCCCTGCAAAATTTCAAAAATTTTTGACAAATTGCACAGGAGTTGCCAAGTTTCAAAGAGAGTGAACAAAATTGTTCCCTCTCACACACACACAAAAAAAGCCCCAAATTTTTTTTTTTTGCATTTCTCAATGTTTCAAGGTCTTGAGTCCAAAATGTAAAAATTTGGGAGGAGTCATTTTTTGACCAATCACCATACTTTCCTCTGTTATATATAACAGAGCCAGGAAACTAAAAATCTATACATCTAATCTTATAGAAGTTATAATAAATATTCCAATATTTTGAATGAAAACTTGGGTGTTTGATTTTATGCATTAGAATTTCATATCCCAGTTCTTCAAAAATATATTTTTTTTCTAAATCATAGATGCATTTCATATTATAGTATACCTTATTACATAAGAAATATAATAATTATAATAAACAAGTTTAAATATAAATACAAGTCATTTATTATAATTATAAAAAATTTATTTTAAAACTATATTTATTCCAAATAAAAATTAATCTGAAATTTATTTACTTGTAGATTTACAAATTTATGTAGATGGCATTTTATATCAATGTTAATAATTGTTAAACTTGATAGAAATGTGTGTGTGTGATTTTTAGGTAATAAAACCCATGAAAGACTCATATTTAGAAATCAATAATAAAGTTCAATTTCAAGTTTACTTAGAATTTTTAGTGTAAGTCTATATCTCTAGAATCTGAGGATAATTTATATACATTATATTGTGTCAAAAACTTTGTTACATTGTATTTGTTGGCTGTGCAATGTAAGATGCTCAAAACAGGTTCTATCAATAAAAACATATTCTTATAATTATTTTATAAAATTAATAACTTTACAATGAGACTTTGCCTGATAACAAATTTAATATCTTTAGAACATATTGTTATCATCCATTATATCTATCTATATAACCCATTGAACACTTGTCTGTCCATGTAATGGTATGCCAAACATGGGCACTAGAAGTGCCCTAGCAATGATTTTAAATTAACAATAAATTATTTTTATTTGTAATAGGAATTTATTATTGATATGAATTTATTATTTATACCACGGAATGGTATAAATAATTATTATATGCCTTGGTTAACCTTGCGTCGCACATTTACAACATCCCGTGACTTAGTGAATGTTGCGCATTGACTCACGGGAAATTTGTTGAAAAAATGGCAGATACATTTAAAATCAAGGTTTACAAGCAAAGGTAAATAAACAAATTAAACTATTTTAAAGTATTTATAGAATGTTTAATAGGTAGAAATCTAGATCCATATGATGCGATTGGGACTTTAACAGAGCTGTAGAGCATATTGATAGGAATAAAAAAGTCAAAGGAATCGTACCTCATGGGAATTTGTAAAGAATGCCCACTAGGGGGCGTCCCGGGCTACTAGTACAATAGATTCCACTTACTGTAATCACAGATATACCATCAACCATTTAATGTTATCAAAATTAGTATATTTGAAAAATAAGTTAACACAGTAATAATTGTTATTATAATAAAAATAATAACAACTGTAATTAATAAATCTTTAAGTTACACAAATATATATTTTTTAATTATTTTATGTGTTCTTTTCATGTCAGAGTCAATAAAAGTAGAATTTTCACTTATTGTAATTATGTTACTTAATGTTAGCATTAATATTATCATCATCAATATTAGCAAGTCCCAAAGTAATTACAATAAATGGATTTTACTTTATTTCAAGATTTGATGTAATAAATTTTCATATTTTTCTTAAAATTTAAAATTATCTAAGATTTACAATAAAATAACAAGAATTTCTATTTCATCTATTTTTTAATAATATAAGTGGCTTGTTATAAATTTTTGAAAAAAGTTTTTAAACTGAAGCTATTCCTATTACAAATAAATTATTCTTATTTGTATATTATGTTTACAAACCTTTGATCAGAAGTCACTTGTTGTATAAAATGCTCATCTAATTTTCTTTTCTTACTCTCTGGACCTGTGTTATCATCATCACTTTTAACTTGCTTCAAATTAATACCATTATCTGACTCAATCTCTCTAGCAATATCATTGTTTTCAGAACTGGGAGATTTTGGACTATCCATATCTCCATTATTCATTTCTGAAGTTTGCTCTTTTTCCTTTTCATGTTGTCTTTTCAAATCAATATCTTTACATATATCAGAGATTGGAGAATTTGGAAACTTTCCAGTTTCAATATCATCATTATTTATTTCTGATTTTTGATTCGTTTCTACTTCAAAATTTCTTTTTAAATTATCTTCTGTTCTCAAATCTTTATCATCATCATCATGTTTATGCATTGTTTTTTCACCACATTTTTTATTCTCTTGCACATTTAATGATGATTTTTTACATTCATTTAAAGTATTTTGACCAAATGTTTCATGTTGAAGACAATCAGATTGAAAAAGTTCATCTTGTAAAACTGTTATTTCTCTTTCTTGATTGTCATTTTGTATATTTTTTTGGCTACACTTTTCCTTTTTAACAGGATTGAAATGTGTATAATGCAATTTCATTGCATATTTATAATAAAGTTTCCTTTTTCTTACTGTACACCATATTCCTGATGGTACTGGTTTGTCTATATATATTTGTTTTTTTGGTACTGTGGAGAAAAAATTGAATATTAGAAGCTTTTTAATAAAATTATTGTAACTAAAATATTTCCAATATTACTTTCTTTCATTTACAAATATGAATTTTATAAAATTTTATATATAATAATCTTTACAACTTTTATCAGAAAATATTAAAAATTATTATTATTTTTTGGATAATAAAGTTTAAAAATATGTCTTATAAAAATATTAGATATTTTAAATTATTTTTATATTGATGTAAGAACAATTAAATATCAATACACTTATATAATACTATGATTAATTATTAAAAGAAAAACTGTTTTAGGTAAGCAATCAATCAATTTTGTATTTGTAAATTTGAAATTGTAAAATAATAATTTTCTTGATTACAGTTTTGTTGATAAAAAAAAACTAAAATATTTTTGTTTTTTTATCAAAAAGATTTATTTTGTTGATAAAGTTAAAATAACTTTTAATCATGCTTATGGGTATAGCTCTCACCAGAAGTTATTCAGATGAATAAGATCACCAGAAGTATTAAGTAGATAAATCCATTTTGAACACACAAAGACAAAATATATGTTAAATATATAAATTATAGCATATCATGAAGTAACTAGATTAATCACTTTTTGTTATTTTAACGAAATAATGTTTTTATAATAAAATTTAGGAAATGCAATTAACAGATAAAAAATATATTTACAGTAGAACCTCCATTATCCGGATTTTCGATTATCCGGATTGTTCAAAATAAAAAAAAATTTTACGAATTTGCTGATTTGCACTTGGCGAATTACGACACTGTTTATGTACGTGATGGAATGCATAACTTTTTTTGTTTCAACAACGTCTCACCCAGCACAGTGGTCGTAAACTCTTAAATATATTTTACGTAGTAATAAAAATATAACTTGACATACGTATTTATAAATAATTTATATTCAAATTACATCATTTCTATGACCAAGGGCGGCGTAAGGCATGGACGACGTGGGCCACCGCCTATGCCTCGCGGTCCGAAGGGCCTCGCGCCTCGAAGGTTTATGCATTACTTAAAAGCCGCGAACGCGACGAAAAAATTTTACTCGTCATAAAACGATAAATAGTTTGTCAAATTTTTATTCATAAAAATGCAGTTTCAACTGCTTTTTATTTTATAAAATCCGTCTTCTTGCGCCACCAGAGGGCCTTTTAAACAATAGGTAGTCTGTTAGCGTTGGTCAGTAGTAGTCCAAATTCAATACGAACATTTGTTTCTTGAAAATTTGATTACGATTTAAATACAGTACAGTATTTACTTTTAATATTACCTATATGTCATCGAAAAGAAAACGCGTTATATTATCATTAAAAGACAAATTAAAGTATTTGTTTCCATTATCCGGATTTTTCCTTATCTGGACTACCTTCATCCCCAATTAGTCCGGATAATCGAGGTTCTACTGTATTTATAAAACTAATTCATTTGTACCTTAACCTTCACTACTTAAATAATCTTACCCATTTCTGCAATAGACACAGATATCAAAGAGCCTTAATTGAATTCCAGTGAGATTTAATTTAAAATAAAACTTTTGAACTAATGTTTTTCAATCTGCAAATGGAGATCTTTAGGTCTTGGATATTTGTTAAAGGAATGCTAGAATCTCATTCAAGCATTCCATTGTCAAATATTTTAAATCAAAACTGAAATTATATAAGCCTTAGTGATAATTGTAAATAGTAAAAAGTAATATTAACATTGCAGCAATAGTGCATAAAATAAATGGAAAAGCAGCAAATGATGGAAAATGTTCGTTAAAATAATAATTGTTATTACATAATTATAAAATAACTGAAGCTTAGTTCAGCAATTCATAACATACTGAGTTTAAACTGTATTCAAATGCTCTTTTTATGTGACCATCTTGAAATCAGTATCAGAAATAACTGGGTGCATACAAAAGTCTATATATATAAAAATGAATGTGTGTGTGTGTGTGTCCTTCATGCATTACCACACCGTTTATCCGATTGCCGTGAAACTTTGGGAAGTTATTTAATATACTCTGGCGAAGGTTTGTGGCATAGTACAATTGCCATAAAACTTTGGAAAGTTTTTTTAATTTTTTAATACACTCCCGCGAAGTACATTTATCCTACGATAGATGGCGCGCGTTTACACGAGCATTCGCGCACAGTGTGTT